TCGTTGCGGACATGGTTCGGGCCTGATTAATGGTTAGATATTGAATTTGAAGTTGTTGCTATAATTAGGTCTTAATATCTTTCTATTATTTGACCTTTGGATTTGTCTCTTAGTCCTTAGCACTTACTTTGTTTCTTAACGCACCTTACATTTACTATTTCAGTTCATAATAATTCTGAAAAAAATTTAAAGTCAGATTGTCCAGTTCTACACAGTCCTCCCAAAAGAACACGCAGGACTCGCCGACTTCTTAGTTCTCCACAGATTGACGTTCACCAATCAGAAGCAACTGATGACCCCTCCAGTAATTTCAATAACAAAGCAATTTTTGATCAAGTTTCCTACAATTCTCAGAAGTCTGGTCCTCTGGTTATTGTTATCACTGCGCCCGAAGTGATAGGTCCTTGTGTCCTCCAAGACTTCATTGCACTCACACAATTATATAGCACCGCTCCCAAATATGGTGGCGATGACTATAGTGAGGCCAAATCTTATGTGAAAGATACTGAATTGGAGCCTTCAGGCCTGCCCATTTGCCTTATTTTCTGTTTATCTATGCCTTCAGAATCGAATTTTGAGGCTCGCTTGGAGTCCAATACACTCGCTCGGTTGGCTTTATATCGCTGCCCTCCTCTATCGTCTCGAGCATTCGTTGATTCTGCTCTACTTCAAGTTAGTAATGCGTAAGACTTTAAATATATTGCAACCCTAGGTTCCATCAATCTTATTTACTTTGTCTGACAACCGCCTGGCTTTTCAAACTATCGATCACCAATTTACCTGTGTAGTTACAACTTGTTAGGGGGACCTTCATTTCGTATGAAAGTGCATGAAGAAGAAATTCGTTGGTCGACCTCACCAGATGGGAACAGATGAATCTTGTTGTACTGCAGCCGTTTGGTTTATATACTATATTTGTTGACGCAGTCCACGAGACTTCCTCCCTCGTTTCGGGTGAAAACGTGCTGAGCTTTCGTCCATCATATGGTGGACATCATCGGAGCTGGGTGTCATTCTTGTAAAAGTCCTACGTGAGCACTAGGCCAAGACGATTATCCGGCTTTTTCTTACCTTTTATATGGACTTAGTTAAGAAAAAAGAAAATTAAAAACCTAGATCTATATAGAGTGGTTTGGCTAATTATCTTTCATACTGGTCCTGCCACTTTGCTTG